ACATACAAAGGAAAGCCAATCACAATCACAGCAGATTTCTCACACAAACCAACAAGTCAAGAAGAGCATGGAGTTATGTATTTCAAACTCTAAAGGAAAACAACTTCCAACCCAGATTGATGTACCCTGCAAACTATCTTTCGAAATTGATAGAGAAATAAGATACTTTCATGACAAAGAGCACCTTACAAACTTCACAAATATTAAACCAGCACTCCAAATCATTTTAAACAATATCCTAGGAAAAGACAATGATGATCACAACCACAGGAAGCCCAGAAGAATGAATCCATCAGGCAAGACAAGAAATTAAATGCAAAGGGGCAGAATACAACAAAAAGAAAAAGTCATGACAAGGTTAAGTCAATACATATCAGTTATAACCACTAATGTTAATTGTCTGAATTCACCAATCAAAAGAAATAGATTGGCAGAATGGTCAAGAAGCAAGATCCAAAAATATGCTTCATACAAAAAACACACTTAATTCAAAAACAATTGAAAGTTAAAGGGTGGAAAACAATATTCCATGCAACAGGAACCCCAAAAAAGCAAGAGTAACTATCGTCTTTGCAGATCAAGTGGATGTCAAACTGACACTGATTAAGACAGACAAAGGACACTGTATCCTTGTAAAGAGAACAATCCAAGAGGAAGAGATGACATTCATAAATATATATGCACCAAACACAAGTGTACCCAGCTATATAAAACAAATGCTAATGGACATGAAAAACCAAATAATTGGGTCAGAGATTCACAAGCACAAGGACCCAAGTTCAATCTCCTGTACCAAAAATAAAAATAAAAATAAGCACTAATACAATTGTAGTATCCAATATCCCACTGTCACAAAAAGACAGATCATGTAGACAAAAAATCAACAACAAAATACTAGAACTGAACCAAAGTTTTGAACAAATGGAATTAATAGATGTCTACAGAGTGTTCCACACCCCCAATCAGAATATACATTCTATTCAGCTGCACATGGGTCATTCTCCAAAAAAGACCACATGCTAGCTCATAGAACATGTTTCAGTAAATACAAAGGAATTGAAATTGTCCCCTGTATAATATCAGACCATAGTGCAATTAAATTGGAGATCAATTGCATAGGAAACTGCAAGAACTCCACAAACACATGGAAATTGAGTAACTCTCCTGTATAACCAGTGAGTCACAGAGTAAATTAAAGAAATGAGACAGTTTCTGTAATTAAATGATAATGCCAGTACAACATATAGGAGTTTATAGGACACAATGAAAGCAATTCTATGAGGGAAATTTATAACAGTGAATACCAATACTAGGAAAACAGCAAGCTCTAATAAACAACCTAATACTAAACCTTAAGTTCCTAGAAAAAGAGAAGCAAGACAAACCCAAAGCTCATACAAGGAAGCAAATTACAAAGATCAGAGCAGAAATAAATACAATAGAGACTAAGAGAATGATACAAAAAAAAGTCAATGAAGAATTGGTTTTCAAAAGAATAAATAAAATCAATAAAACCTTAGCCAACCTTATCAAAAAAGGAAAGAAAAGGCTCAAATCCATGCAATTATGAATGAAAAAGGTGAAGTCACAATAGATCCAGCAGAAATCCAGAGCATCATCAATACCTACTTCAAGAATCTATACGCTAATAAAATGGAAAACATAGAAGAAATGGACAGATTCCTAGACAGATGTGAATTACCAAAGTTTAACAAAGAAGATACAAAAATTCTAAACAACCCCAGTTACAATCAGCAAAATTGAAAATGTAGTTAAAAATTTACCAAAAAAGAAAAGCCCAGATCCTGATGTCTTCACTGCAGAATTCTACAAGACATTTAGAGAAAAACTATTGCCACTCCTCTTTAAACCCTTCAGTGAAATTGAAAGGGAAGCAATACTCCCAAATTCATTCCTGGAAGCAAGTGTTACTTTGATTCCAAAACCAGGGAAAGACCCAACCAAAAATGAGAACTACAAGCTAATCACCCTAAAGAACATAGATACAAAACTCCTCAATAAGATACTGACAAACAGAATACAGAGGGTCATCAAGAAGATCATACACCCTGACCAAGTTGGCTTTATCCCAGGGATGCAAGGATGGCTCAATATATGTAAATCAATAAATGTAATACACTATATCAAAAGAGTCAAAGACAAAAACCACATGATGATCTAGACAGATGCAGAAAATGCATTTGACAAAATCCAACATCCATTCATAATTTTAAAAACTTACAGAAAATTGGAATAGATGGTCTTTATCCCAACTTAATAAAGGCCATCTATGAAAAACCAACAGCCAACATCATACTAAATGATCAGAAACTGAAAACCTTTACAATAAAATCAGGAACAAGACAAAAATGTCCACTATCACCACTCCTGTTTGATATAGTTGTTAAAATATTAGCCACAGCAATTAGACAAGAGAAAAAATAAAAGGAATAAAAATAGGAAAAGAAATTAAAATGTCATTATTTGCCGATGACATGATAGTTTACATAGAAGACCCAAAAAACTCTGCCAAAAGATTCCTAGACTTAATTGACAGATTCAGTAGAGTAACAGGATACAAGGACTATACTCAAAACTCAATAGCCTTCTTGTACACAAATAAGAGACTCCCTGAGAAATTAGGGAAACAATTCCTTTCACTATAGCATCCAAAAAAATGAAATATCTAGGAATCAGTGTAATGAAGGAAGCAAAAGAAATCTACATTGAAAACTATAGCACTCTGGAAAAGGAGAACAAAGAGGAAATAAGAAAATGGAACAATATCCCTTGTTCCATGGTAGGAAGAACCAATATAGTGAAAATGGTCATACTTCCAAAACTGATATATAGATTTAATGCAATCCCAACTGTGTATTTCACAGAACTAGAGAAGACAATAAAAAAATTCATTTGGAACCAGAAGAAACCTAGAAGAGAAGAAGCAATTCTAGGCAAACAGAGACATGACAGGGAGTATCACAATTCCCAACTTGAAAGTATACTACAAAGCTACTGTGATAAAAACAGCATGGTACTGGCAAAGAACAGACCCAGGGATCAGTGGAATAGATTAGCAGATGCAGAAAGAAGTCCAGACATACTCAGCTACCTCAGCTCCTTTTGACAAAGGAGCCAGCTATCCTCACTGGAGAAAAGACAGCCATTTTAATAAATGATGCTGGAAAAACTGGATTTCGACCTGCCAAAGATTAAAATTAGACAGCTATCTTTCACCATGCACTAAACTAAAATTCAAGTGGATTAAAGATCTAAATATTAAAATCAAAACACTGAACTTGCTGGAAGATAAATTAGGTAGAACACTTAAAGAAATTGGCATACAAAGAGACTTTATGAAAAAAATCCTTAGTAGCACAGGAACTAACCCAAAAAATCAACAACTGGGATCTCATCTTACTAAAAAGCTTCTGCATTGCAAGAGAAATCACTAATTGAGCTAAAAGACATCCTACAGTGTGGGAAAAAATTTTATCAGCTGTTGTTCACACAAAGGACTACTATCTAGAATATATAAAGAACTCAAAAAAATCAGACCTCCCAAATATAAAGATCCAATTCAAAAATGGGTACCTGAAATAGACATTTCTCAGGCAAATAATTAAAAGCAGCAAATAAGCATAGGAAAATGTTCAACATCACTGGTCATTTAAGAGATGCAGATGAAAGCAACACTGAGAGTCCACCCAACCCCACAAAGAATGGCTGCTATCAAGAAATCAACCAATAACAAATGCTGGTGGGGTTGTAGGGAGGAAAAAACCCTTTTTCATTTTTGGTGGGAGTTCAGACTGGTGCAACTAGTGTGGGCATCAATATGGAAATACCTCAGAAAACTAGGATTAGAGGTACCATTTGATCCAGCCTTTCCTCTGCTGGGTATCTTCCCCCCAAAATTAAAAGAATCATACCACAGTGATATATGTGCACCTATGTTTACAGCAGCACAGTTTGTAACAGCTAAAGCTTGGAAATAGCCCAACTTCCCATCAGCTGGAGACTGGATTCAGAAGATATGATTTTTTAAAATAAAATGGAGCACAACTTAGCCATAAAAAGAAAAACTAGAGACTCTTACAGCCAAATGGATGCATATTGAGGACATACTCCTAGTGAAATAAATAGGACACATGTAAATACTGAATAGTTTCCCTGGTATGAGAAACTAAAAGTGTAAATAAGGATCAGATTGTATAATTGATAATGTGAAATAGGAATAAAAGGGCTAAATGGTGTAGGGGAAGTAGAAGGGGTAAGGGAATGGAAATAAAGAAAAGGAAAGAAATATAAGAAAAGGAAAAAATGGAAACAAGGTCTTTGTAAATAGGGAGGGATGGAGGGGGTAAAGGGAGAGCAGGGGTATGGGGAAAAAAATAAGATCCAAGGTACATCGTGTAAGGTACAAGTTCCCAATGATGAATGTAACTGTGCTGTATACCTAAAATGTACCAATAAACTTAATGAAAAGAATCAAATAACGTTCTTAGTAATCATTCTTTTCTGGTATCAGTTAGAGACCCAGGACTTCCAAGACCAGGTAGGTCCTCAGTGGGATTGTATGTATCCAGGTATTAGAGAGAAGTGATAATTATACAAGAATTTTATATAAGTTTAGAAGTGATGTGCAGAATTTCAACTTCATTCAATTGGTCTCTTTTATAGGTCTACACATCTAACTGCAAGAATGACAGAAAATACATTGTGGTTACATACTTCTCTAGCAAGTAGGTTAATAGGAGATAAATACAATGGTTTTATGTAACGCTCTTATGGTCATTTCTCACAACTCTTTTCTGGATATTCTTTGACTGTTTCTACAAACTCTTTTCCTATTTTTCTCTATTATCTCCTACCAACTCATTTCTTATTCCTTTTGTTTAGTGTACTCCAGTCATTCTTTTTTTCAACTCATATTTTAAAAATCCTTAGATTATCCCCATTTTAGAGAGGACAAGGAAAATACTTCAAAGATAATTCAACCTTGTTTGATAGCAGCCCACATGCTATATATAAAACTATTAGGCTGTGAGCTCAATTTCAACATTACTTTTCCACCTTTAAAACCACCAAGACCAGTGCTCAGATCCAGTGGGAAAGTAAACTGGAGGATCCGCCAGTCATTTTGGCCTCTTTATTAATCTTTGAACATCCAGAGCTGCTCCAGTTTGGGTATGGTTTGTTCCCAAAGATTCATGCATTGGAAGCTTAGTCCTCCAAGAACTGAGAGATGGTAGGTCTTAGTAGAAAGTGACTAGATCATAGGGCCAAACACACATAGCCACTCAATCTCGGAGCCCCAGGCTCTAAAACTGAGATAAACAAACCTCTTTTCCTTACAAAATGCCCAGTCTCTAGTATTTTTTATAACAAACAAAATAGACCAAAATTCAAGACATGGTCCTGCCTCACGGGCTCTGCCTAGTATCTGCAATGTATTTTTTTTTACTAGATAGTCCCAGGACTTCTCCCTAACTCCATTCAGGCATCTGTTCAAAGTGATTCTTCAGAGAGGATTTCCCTGATGAGATCTGCCCCTACCTGAAACACTAATCTCTCACTCTCCAGCCCCTTACCCCACTGTTGTTTTGTTTGTTTGTTTGTTTGTTTTTGTTTTTTTGTACCAGAGATCGAACTCAAGACCTTGTGCTTGTGAGGCAGGCAACAGAACCACTGAGCTAAATCCCAGCCCTCCATTTTCTTGATCTATCACTCTGTGCCTTCTAGATTGCACAAAATGGAAAGTGTGATTTATCCACAAGCTTTCTAGGGTGGTAGGGAATCCTAGACACTCAGACAATAATGTTTCTTTAGATGCTGCCTTTCCTGTCAGCTATTATACAGAGAAAATATAGACACATGTATAGGAACACATAAAGTCTAATTACAAAAAGTAATGTTATATATTTATCAATCAGAGTGTCATTGACAAAACTATATTGTCCAAAAGTTGCCGTATTTTATGTAGATCTTATACACATGAAAGGTGAATGCAAAAAAGTCTTATTTAGTCAACAAAGCAATTGATTTTCCTAATCTAGTGGATAATTGTTTGAATTTGTTCTTTCTAGGAGTAACCGGTCTAATTATCCTTTTGCTATGGACAATCTCCACGTTTCTCTGTAAGACATTAGTAGAAGTTGTATCATAAAGTGTATCAGTATGAAGGGGATCTTTTTCCCCAAAGCAATGAAGTTATAGTTAGGCCTGGCTTCTCTGATCATGAATTCAACAACAAAATGATTCAGAATTTAAGAATGAGCACTGCAGCATAGAAACAATTACTGGAATTTCTGCAGTAATTTAAAATAAGATTATGTTCTAAATTCTATAAAGTGATATAAATACATACATAAATTATTCAAGTATTTGCAATGTACCACTGTGTACAAATATAACATTTAAGCAATTATAACTGTACTAAGTATCACATGACTTATTTAAATCAAATAATCTAGCACAAGTCTCCATTGCATTAATTATATGTGATTCAAGGAATAAACTTGTTTGCATTATTACAACTCAGAAAAACTGAGAGAAGTAATGTTTTGCCAAATTTTACTTGACTATAGATTTTACTAGGACACACCCTATATTGTACAAATAAATCACAGTTTAAGTTTAAATAAAGTACTACTTAAGTTGTTCTCCTTGAGTTGTGCAATTTCATTGTAACTAGCTAGATGTAGCCAATTTGGGACGAATGCAATATATCCATGAATTCATAAATTGTGCTTTTGACATGAATTCATTCATTAGTTCCATCCTTACTAATAATTGACATAATGATGGCTCTGGGTGCCAAGTAACTGGTTATTCCTGCAATGTTTTCACATCCATTACAGAAAAAAACGTTTTCTAGAATTGTGTCTTGCTCATATTTCTGGTCTCTTTTTCTTTTGTGATGTGATATTTCACATTTCCACCAGAGATCTTCATAGTTCTGCATTGAAAAAATAATATTCCATCCAATAAATACCCATTATGAGCAGAGAGCATGCAGTCAGCTGGCTGGCAGGCAGACTGTTTTAGGCAGGATCCCTTGAGGATGGAATACCTGTGTGAGGTTAACACAGGCCAGGTGTTTTGCTTTGGAGTTTGCTAAAATCGTCCAGTTCACCCAAGTATAATCAGACTGCGAGGAAATTATTTGGACTGGAAAAATTTAAAAGAGCTGGACATAAATGCCAGAGTATTGATTTATTTCTACAGGTTCACATGTTGGTACCATGTCATCGATTAGATAATGTGCCAAGGTAAGTGAATTAGATATCGGAAGGTTGCTCCATGAGCTGAGCCTTGCTATAAGGAGAGTTAAGTGTTCTTACAAGTGTTCCATCAGGCTAAAGTAGTTGTCCAAATAATATTTGCAAATAGACTTATTAAGATATAATTCACACACCAATACTAAACAATTCACTCTTTTAAAATGTCCAGCTCAATGATTTTATGTTATCCATTGGATCATGCAACCATAACTGTAAACTAATTTTAGAACAACTTCATCACCTCAAAAGAAACCCCATACCCATCAGCAGTCATTGCCTGTCCCCTCTTCCCTTCCAATGCTAAGCCCTAGGCAAACACTCATTTACTTTTGTTCTCCTTAGGTTTGCCTATTCTGGATATTTTATGTCAGTAGAATTCTACATTATATGGTCTTTTGTCACTGATTTTGTTCCTTTAATGTAATAATATTCATGCTATAGTGTATACTAATATTATTTCTTTTTATCTATAAGTAAAATTTCCTTTTATAGATGTACCACATTTATTTGTCCATTCATTCATTAGTTGATGGATATTAGGTTTTTATAATTTTTGCCTATTATAAATAGCATTGCTGTAAGTATTCAGGTACAAGTTTTTGTATAGAGAAATATTTTAATTTCTCTTGAGCATCTATAAAGAATGGAATGGGTGGATCACATAACAAAATTTAAGCTTCTGAGGACTTGCCAAAAGGTAGTAACTGAACATTTTCCATGTCTATCAGTAACTTACAAGTATTTTAACTTCTCTATGTCTTCCCCAACAACTGTTATGTTTTGGGTTTTGATAATATTGCAGTGAGATAACACTTTTTTTTGTGCTTTTGATTTACACATCCCTCAGGGACTGTAATGTTGAACATCTTTTCATATGCTCATTAGCTATTTGTATATTTTCTATAAAGAAATGTCTCTTTTCATCCATTCTTCCATTCAAAATTGGAGTACACATCAGTATTTCCTTTTTATTGCCAGTTAATATTGTGCTGTGTACAAATGCCACAGTTTACATACTCACCATCAGATACCCTGGGCAGAACAAAAAGGCACTAGAAGGACATCCACCTCCAAATGTTTTTAAAATGTTAGAGCTTCTGGCTCCCAACTTCAAGGTTTATAGTACTGACTTTCCCAGGCATCAACTTGCAGGAAGCAGGTAGCAGGTTATGTTCATTCTCAGCCTTCATGATCACAGGGGCCAGTCAGTCACTAGAAGTCTCTTTCTGTCTATCTCAATACATTCCTCTGGTTCTATTCCTCTAGAGAAGCCTCACTATCACAAGTGCCCATCAAAAACAGCATTTCCTGAGAGGATGGAGTGGGACACAAATAAAAGCAAAGGTATGGTGTTGCAAAACCATATACAAATGTATTATTAAAACTACTATTACAGCAATGGAAAGTATGAACTTATGAGTAGCAAAATAGGAGGCACAAGCAATGATTAGAGTGCCTATTATCCAATCACTTGGACAAACTTCCCATAAGAGTATTCTAAATGGAGATAATCTGAACATTCCAAATATAGCATTGATTATGTATAAAAAGAAATATTAAGTATGACAAAAACTGATGCTAGATAAGATTATGCAGTGTCAAAGAGAAGCACAAAGAGGAAGAGGGCTATAGTTTGGATGGTACCACCCCAAACCGTAGTCTTGGACCCCGGAGTGGCAAGGTAAGAGGAGATGAAACTTTTGGGAGCTCAGGACTTATGAAAGGTACATAGGGCATTGGAGTGTGTCTTAAGAGCCTCTCTCTCACTCCTTCCTGACTAAATATGTGACCACTCATTCCAACATGTGCTTTTACCATTGTCATCTGCTACCTCATCAAAGCCACAACCAGTGAGGCCCCTTAATCTTAGATCTGAAGAGCCAAACTATTAGTCAAATGAATCTTTTCTCTTTATAAGTTAATTGCTGCCGATATTTCTTTATAGTAATATGAAAGTGACTCATCCAGAGGTGGAAAAAAGGAAGGCAGGCAGGCAGGAAGGAAGGAATAGTAATATGAAAGTGACTCATCCAGAGGTGGAAAAAAGGAAGGCAGGCAGGCAGGCAGGCAGGAAGGAAGGAAGGAAGGAAGGAAGAAAGGAGCAAAACAAGCAGACACATGACTCATAGGCTTGTCGTGGTCTTCCAGAAACCCAAGGGCACTCAGGTAACACTGAAATGGACCTCATTTGTGAGCCTTCAGCATTTCTCTGGTGACCTGCCTGAAAGACATTGCTATAGGATAAGCCCACAGCCCACCTTCATTTTCCCTTGTGGATAGAAGTTCAGTTTTGATTGGGGCAGGAAGATGTCTAGTCTAGAAAAGTGAAAGCAAGCCCATGATAGATGTTCACTCTCACAGCCTCTGTGAATGATCCCTGAAATTCTGGCTGATGACCTGGGGATAAGACAGTACATTCTGGCAAATATTTTTTTTTTCTATTGTGAAAAAATATTAGAAACTCCAATTTCCACTGGGATTCTTTTCTTCCTGAGTTAAGAATGGTTTATAAAAATATGATATTTTTGGAAAGATGAGGATCACCTTGTAACTATGCAGTGATTATTTTATTTAGAACCTAGTACTTGGCAGAGTGCAGGGATACGAAAGAAATAGAAGTCATAGTACTCAAGCCCAAAAAGCCTACAATAGAGAGAATTAACTTGAGAACAACTGCAGTGCAACTTATGGTATAATGCTGTAATTCAGTGCCGAATAACTTACACCTAATGACAGCCCCCCAGGATCCATTATTAGTAACTCTGTTCCCCCAGTGCTTCCTGTCAATCCAGCTAAACTGAAAAAGTTTTCAGGAAAGATTCTAGAGAGATTCTAGTCCCAAATT